CCTGACTTACGCATCAAACAAGTAATTCAGTACTGATGGTTTTCTGTAGTTTGCACCATACCATATAACTCTCTGCTGTATTGGATTACTTGACCCTATAAAGCATTCAGAGGTTCTGCTGGCACGAACACTACCAGGGAATATGAAACCAGTTCTGATCAGTTAAGCTGTATAGTTATTACTTTGTAAAATCCACAGCTTCTATCTCATAGATGGTATTTGGGGAGAAAAGGATAAACACCTCGATATATGCTAAGGACAATAATAGTAGTCCAGCTGACTCCGATTTCAACGTCTCTCCTTACTTACAGCAGTTAAGGCTTTGCCTCACAGGTTTTAGCCTGAAGACACATAAAGACTCAGCACTTATTTGTGTTCTATACTGAGATGCAATTCCATATGCAAGTTTGTCTTTGGGTCAAAATGTTTCACAAAGACTAAAACCTTGTTCCACAAGTAGTCCACTGATACTGCTTAACTGGAGTGGTTTGTACAAATGGAGATGGCAGAAATGGACCCCTTATTTGTAGACAAATGTAACAGTCATGGTATCCAACAGAAACGGTGACTGTGACCAGATTTGTGGCAGTGGCCTTTCTCGCTTTTGGATGAGAAAACAGAAAAAGGGCAACATCAGAGCCCTGTTGACCCTGCTGTAGCGTGATGGGTGGAGGAATGCTGTGAAGAGAATTCATTAGGCAGGAACAAGCACTGTTTCATACATTCTGGTTGCTCTTCCTCTTAGTTTTTGGCTGTAGAAAAGAAAACAAGTTATAAGCCATAACGCACAAAAAAGCAGCCTCATTTAAAATAAAGGATGAGGTCTGCATTTCCTGCAGGACTAATAGCTGCGTTCTTTGTGAGTCTTCTCAAAGCCTAAGCAAGAAATCACTGAGAACACGGAGCTAAAGAATAGGTAGGGAAATACACAGCTATCCTGCAGTTAAGTCTACTGTGCTAGACAGAGCTTAGTCTGCTCTGCAGGCGGGTGATGTTTTTAAGCAGTTCCCCAGACACGGCTTTTAAAATCAGGTGAAGTTGTACTTGGACAAGTCATTGCCCAATGACCCGCCGCACGGCACTCATCAAAAGCTGTTACTCACCAGTTGAACCCTTGACAGTTGTGGGTTTGCTTTTGTGTCTGCCTTTCTCCGCCACCAGACTAACGGTGTACTCTGTCCCTGCATCCAACCCTCGCAGGATAAAGGAGGTGCTGTCCACGGGGATCTCCACTTCGTTCTTCTTTCCAGAGGCGCTAACATAAATGAGGCGATAACGATCAAACTTCGCCACTGGTCTTCTCCAGCGAAGGGATAAGGTGGTTTCAGTGGGGTCGCTGACTTCCAAGTCCTTGGGGTTATCAAGATCTACAGGTTAAAAAAGCAAAGTTGAGGTGTCTCTGAAGTGCCCTGGATGACGAAGTTCTCCTACAGACAAACCACACTAGGATGAATTTCCCCCACTTACACTCTCTTTAGCAGGCACTGCATGGAGGAGAGGCAGAATTTACGACTTCAGAGAATTTACCCGGGAAAAGGGGGGTATTGTGAGAAAAATCATGGATTTGAAGGGCAGTCAGGACTATGATTGACCACTGAAGCTGCACTCTTTGTCAGATCAACCTTATAGCCACCATTCCCAACAGAAACCCCCACAATTAGAGGATGGCCAGAGTAATCAGTGGAAGCATAATTAGCATTAAGGGGCTCATCCAGATTTGAAACTCCTTGTACAGGAAAAGGAAGCCGAATTCAGAGGTCAAGATCTTTGGGGAAATGTTTTTATTCTCCCTTGAGGGGAAATGTACCATTGGTAACAAAATGAAATCAAGAACTTTCTAAAATATTTCTTACAGCATTATTTGGAAATGAAAGAAACATCACAGTGGCTCCTTGTGACTTGCTGCTTCCTCTGAAGGACAAAGGCGGATCAAGCTACTCACCAGTGCCAGCATTAATGGTAGCAGGGGCGCTTTCCCTGTCCTGTCTCACTGCTGTCACTCCAATGCCATATTCAGTTCCAGGCCTCAAACCTAAGAGACAAGGAATAGAAGGATGAGTTCCTGTCCGTGGAACATGCCTATGAGCATTCGTTGAAATAAGGGAAGCCTGAATGTACGCAAGTTAAGACATAAACTTTGCTGTGTATGCAGGGAACCAAGGTTTCAGTTGACATTTGGGGTGACCTGATGTTAATAAATCTTTTTCCATGTACGTGCCAAAGGATAAAGATTACGGCTACCTAAGATTGCATTTTGGATACTGGGCAAATGCATAATCAGCTTCTACTTTTAAGACCTTGCAGTATAGGTACTTCTGCCAAAGAAAAGCAGGTAGACATCCGCGTGACAGGGAGAAAGTACCACTATCTAGCCTTGCAGGCTGGTATGGCAATTTGCAGGTACGCAGAAAAGTTGCAGACTGGCATCAGTAAATACCATGCCTAGCACAGGCAAAAGCCTTTTGAACTCAGAGATGTGAAGCCATCTCCACAGAGACATGTAGCTACCTAGAACTCAGGGAACTGACTAGTGGGATTCAGAGACGCACGTGGAAGTGAAATGGCTACATACCTTCCGTTGGCTAGTTATCCATCTGCAGGTGCATAAATGTATATCACATGTATTTTAATTTAATTGCTTATACTCAAAATGCGTAACCTCTGCTTGTACCTTTTATGTATAGTGACCAAAGGGCATTTGTCCCTACATTGCTGTGCTCTGGGGTGATGGCAGCGGCACGACATTACCAACAATCTCTGCATTCCCCTACCAGTGAGTGTAGCTCTGGTTGTTGCTTGGTTGCCCTTTGGCACTGTGATCTCAGCATGGTCTCCACCAGAGATAGGAGCAAACTTAATTCGATAGTTATCAATATTTGCGTGGCTGTTCTTCCACTCCAAAGTAATGCTATTGTCTGTCTGTGACACCCGCTTCAAGTTTCTCGGAGCATCCAAGTCTGTAATCAATCAACAAATAAATAAATAGGAATAATTCTCTTATGACAGCAGTCTCTTATAACAGCACTTTTTAGAAGGTGAAATGATCCATAAAGCTGACGTTTCCTCTCACATGACACCACTATGTTCTTAACTACATCAAGCAGATTTCTTTTAGCATGAAATGTAGAGTTCATTTGGGGAAAACATCAGAGGAAGAAATTCAGCGTTTATTTCTTGAGGCAAAAATAACATTTTCAATTTTAGTAATTATTTTTTATTTTATTTATAGGCTTGTGGAAAAATGTATTTGGATGAAAATATTATTTTACCTTTATAAATACATCAACTTTCAGAAGGAAAAAGGCTGCTAAGAAAAAAGAATTGATCATCTCTAGTATTTCTGTTCAGTAAATATCTTGCATTCATGGCTGAAAAGAACTCTAAGTCTCAAAACAGAAGGTGAATATTATGTAGAAATTCAATGGGCTTTCACTGTTCACACCTATACTAGACTCAAATCCTGCTCTGAATGAACAACTACATTTTAGGATGAAAAGGGAGGTAATTCTCTATGTACCATTTACTCAGATCCCCTAATGCATCAAACCTCAGTAACATGCTATATGACCCACACTTTCATAAAGCGTTCCCAGGATCGCTAAGGAGCAAAGTAAATTTATAAAAGCATGACAGAAACGCCTGCAGAACTGAAGAAGGAAAAAAAGCAGTTGTCTACTAATCTGTTACACACTTAGACAAAGAGAAACAAGATCTTAGATGGAATAGGAACCATGGAAGATATTTAGCTCAGTAGACAGACAAGTAATCCGGAGGAATTTGTGTCCTGAAGTAGAGATTTAGGGTATGATGAGCAAAAGCTTCTAAGAGACTAGCATAATTCTAAGAGACTAGCTTCTGAGAGGCTAGCATAATTCCCATTTTCAAAATGCATTTAGATACTTGGGGGGGGGTCTAAATATTTTGTTGAGCCAGTGAGGTATATAAGGCACAGAAAAACATGCTCCACTTTCAGGTACCTCTATAACAGTGCTGATTCTGTGTTGATGCATAACTATCAACTCAAGCAACATGACACATAGCACAGGAAGATTGATGGTGGTCGTATTACCTTCCCAGAAGTTTGGATCGGTATCCAAGCCTCTTACCTGTGACAAAGACTTCCTTCATGGGGTCGCTTTCCATGTCCCCTCGACGAGAGATAAGCGTCACTTCATACTCTGTGTGCGGCCTCAGGTTTCCAATAGAATATTGGTTTTCATCTTCCGAGAGGTCAATGGTTGTCCTGTCCCCTGGAACATCCTTGGGGCCATAAGTGAGCTCTATGCCTTCAATTTCAGCCAAGGGTTTGGACCAGGTGATAAGAGCTGTGGTGTCTGTGACATCTTTTGCCTCGATCTGGCTAGGGGCATCAAGCTCTGTTACAAAGAGAGAAAAACGTGGGTTTTCTTAGAGAAATTTTGCCCGAAAAATCATACACATCCTTGTGCTTTTAATTGCTGATTCAGAGCAAAATTAGAATGAGCGGCTTCTACCAGCTGAAACTTATCTTTGTTTACTTTCTTCCTTTACTTTCTATAATTGTAGAAGAAACTTTCAAATAGAATCAATTAGTCAGAAGGTAATTCAGAAGCTACCAAAGGAAAGACAAGCAGGAACCCCAAGAGGTTCTCCATCTGCACAACAGAACCTCTCCTGCCAAGAATTTCTTCATGCAAATATCACCAGGATGAAAGAAATTCTAGTTCCTGTTGATGCACACTTTAAAAAGAATAAAAGTGCACACTGCTTGCTATCTTCTAGCTAAACATAAATTTCCTTTCCTCTTCCAACAGGTCATTTGGAAAGGAACTAATTTCTCCTCATGTATCCTTCATTAGCAGCTCCACTTCCCTTTCCCCCCTATCAATTCACAGTACAGAGCTTGGCTTTCTCTTTGTTTAAAAACTCCATAGGCTGCACCAAACAGCAGTTGTATTATCGGTGGCACTACACCAAATACAGGTTGCGCTTACTTGTGGTTATCACTCTGGATAGTCCGGGTCCTCTGGTATTGTTTTTCACTATATGAAGGGATACGTTATACTGCTGCCCTGGTGCCAAACCTGGCTGCATATAGGATGTCTCTGGCCTTTTCAAGCTGCTGGTTATATCTCCATTATCATCCTTTTTCTGTAACGCATGGAACAATCAGTTAGAATAAATGTAAAAAATCCAGGACCTTTCACTTATACGTGGCCTTTATACCTGAAACACTGCTTCCTTACCATGTTACGGAAGACCAGCTCCCAGCCATCAAATGAAAAGTTCACGGGATCCCACTCCACCTGAACGGACGTTTCTCTAACAGATTTGAATTTCAGACCTTCTGGAGCAGGAAGATCTGTGACAGAAAAAGAAGGATATCATTACATGAGCAACAAGTTCCCATAAATAGGGCACTGGGGGTGGGGCATCTTCCCACCACTATAAATATCTGCCATGTAGGTATCTACATCTGAGGTGTTTAAGCCTCTTCACAGCCAGTTATTCTGCCTTTGGAGAGACATCCCTTTGAGCTGTTTTAGATGTCACCGTAGAGTAAAATGACTTTTGCCTTAGAAATCTCTTTTTTTTTGCCCTTTTGAAAGAAGACTAGTGTGGACATTTGAATTTATGGGGGATGAATCCTGCCCCAGGTCTCTAAAAATGAGCACAGTGACAGAAGTCAAAGGGCATCTTTCAAGGCTGGCATGTTTAAATATGACTGTGGTGCGCACAAAACAGAAGATGAACAACAAATGAACAGACAGGCAGATAGAAAGTAAACTGTGGTAAAACACACTGAAGATGCAAAACAAACGTAACCTCCATTTAAGTCAAAACAGTTTGAATCCAAGTGATTTCATATCGCGCTTTTACATGCTGGTACATTTTTATATTTTTTCAGGAAGCATTACCGGACTTTAAAAATGTACCTTATTATGAAGAAGCCAAGGGTCTTAATTTACAAAGACCTCATAATATTCATTGGGAAGCACTGTATAGGGAACTTTACTTTTAACACAGTCATTAGTATTGGAAAAGAACAGAAAATGAAAGTGCAGAAGACTCTCTTTGTTCAGAACAGAAGATTAATTGAAAATAGAAAATACATAATAAATAATACCCCCAAAAAAGGGATGTAAATTAATACATACTGCAGAATAGACAAAAGAATGAATACAGGGACTATTAAACTCACATGTTGCTACCCTGGCACTGACTGGAATACTCTTCTTGTTTTTAAGGATTGCAAAGACACGGATAAAGTATTCTACACCCGGCTCCAGTTCATGAATAGTGGCGGCTGTCTGATTTCCTGGCACGGTGAACTGCATATCTAAGCCACCGCTGCTGGTAGGGACGTAGGTGATGAGGTACTCATTGACAAGATTCTCATGCTTCCATTCCAGATTCACGGTTTTATCTGTTACGTTTGTCACAGTCAGTTCAGTTGGAGGAGACACTAGAAAGGGGAAAAACCAAAACAAACTTATAAGAAGTTTTCAAGGCTCAGAAAACGACGACTTACCCAGTTTCACATTTTCCCAGGAGCAGTTTATAAGAATCATCTAACTAACAGGGAACGGGGAAGCCACGTCACACAAATTAGCCTTGTGAAGAAAGGAATGTTCAGTTGATGAAGACTACAGACTTTTCCTAAAGTCATCGGCCAATTTCTACTCATACACTTGCACACAATCTATGGCTGAGTGTGTTCCAGCTCCTCCTCTCACAGCTACTGCACAAGACCACTACAGCTGGGTCCCTAGTGATGCAGATGTTGAATTCAGCTGCCAGCAACATATGATTTTATAGCTGGAAGTCCTGGGGTTTGGATACACAGAATTGCACAGATTTTCCAAAGTAAAATAAAAGATGATTTTTTTGTAAATACTTTCAGTAGATTACTCCACATTTGCATGTACAAGAGCACAAAATTCAGCTTGGGCGTCTTCCAGAAGGAGGACATGAAAAATGGGAATTTCTTTTCAAGGGTATTCATTGTCTTTTGTAATGTTACCCACCCCAAAGTACTCTTTGATTACTCTACAAAGATCTTAGTTCCAAAATTTCTCCCCTGGGATCTACTAAAGAAAACTACCTCCTTTATAGCGCAATGCCTGTCATTATCTAGCTGCCAAAATTTTCTATCCATTTCCATGGAGTCAGTGGTATTGGGAAACAAAGCATGAGGCTTTATAGCTAAGCTTCCACTCCAGCTGACTCCATGATTTTACTCTAAGCTTTTGTCAGATCTAACATACACGCATGCAAAAATATATATATTAAACCACGTTTTACTTTAGTTAGAAAAATCTATTTGCCCAATTGAGAGAGAGCCAAAGCCCCTGTAATTATCCTGAAAGCTTGTACTGCAATATTTGCAACATCTGGCGATTCCATCGTGACAGTTGTCTCATACAGATCACTCAGGTGGGACTTATTTTCTGTGTGTGCCTTGCCTCCACTACACCCTCTGCCTCCACCAGGGCTCCAGCTCAGAGCTCTACCTCCAAAGCAAAGTCGCTGAGCCCCTGAGGTCTGTCGATACATACTGTCAGTGCTCTGTGTTTTGTTTTTGGCTCCTACAGCAGTATGGTAAATGCAGACCCATCCAGCATGAGACTGGGAACCAGAACCCGGCTGTAAGAAACCTTTGATACTCAGGCTCTTTATTCACAGCCATTCATTATCTACACATTATCTTATTCCTGCACAGCCTTATTCTTCAGTCAAAATTCAATCCATATTCTTTTGACTAATCCTGCTGA